TGACTTCTCTTCATCAGGGAAAAAAAGTGCTGAGAAGCAAGTCCAAAATTCAAACTGTGAGCAACTTGAGAAACATATTTTTCAGCAAGTCAAGGTAAAGATTGGGGTCGAAGAAAACATCTGGCTAAGTGAACTAATGGCTTTAGAGAAAAAGGAGCCCTGCTTTGTGGAGACGGGAAAAAATTATCCACTGCTGGTTTTAATTTGGGATGAAAAAAAAATCTGATTCTATTAGCCTAAATATTGCTCTTATGTCCAATTGCATGGAGTTTGGAATAATATTTTTCAAACAGAACTACTGCTATTTCAAGTAATTACAATGCTAAAAGCAGTCATTTGGGGTTGAGCAAGGATCTCATCATGGTTTCAATTCCCTCTGGTGTCATTTTCTGTTATATTTGAGAAATTCCTCAATAAAGATGTCAAATAGAAAGAGGGTTTTGCTCCCCGGAGGACAGATTTGGCCACCCTCCAGGACACAGTCCCAGGCAAGCCATCTCCACAAGAAAATAACCTCGTTGGCTCAGGAGAAAAGAAAAGGTTCAACTGTGAAAACTCCGGCAAGAAAATAACCCTTAAGCCGTCAGCCTCATTTCTCCTAATTAACTCAATGCTTTTCAAACTGTGCTGATCGGGATTTATTACAGCCACCGTCCCTGCGGAATTCAGCAGTGGCTGAGAGAGGAATGTTACAACCGGACAAGACTCTTGACCCAGACTTCTGGAGGCAGAACAACAGGAGAGGCAAACGGCCTGATGGTCCCCAGCGGGTGATGGGTTGTGGAGTGGGGCTCGGAGTGACTGACCAGAGACGGTCAGGACTGCACAAGGCGGCGAGAACCGTCCAACAACCCAGTCAGCCTCTCACATCCAGCACCCATCACGAGCAGGTTTCCGGGGGGAAGCTTTATTAGGCAGCACGAGCACAATTCCTCCTGAGATGAGCAGGTAGTTAAATGACCGAAGCAGGTAGTTAAATGTCGTGAGCAACAGGGAGTGGTGGGGACTGTAGCAGACAGGACAGTCCAGCCCCACCTGAGGGGCAGCTACAGCTCGGCTCCTGCCAGTTGCCACAAGTAGCACACTGAGACTGAGACCTGCCCCTGCCCCGGGCCCCGTGCTTTGGGGGTTCCCCCTCCACCCATTCTGTGACTGCAGACTCCCTATGGAGTAAGAAGTCCACAGGCAGTCACGTGCACCTGGAACCCATACGCATCCTTTCAGACTACATTCTGGGTACCTGAGACCCTAAAATTCCCTGTCCGAATGGCCCCACGCCTGTCTGTTCTCTCAGGGACAGAAGACACTTAGGACCAAATAACGGCGAAAGAGAACTGAAGCCTGGCGGGTGTGAACAGTCGACCCCAAACCAGGAACTCATGAGCGCTGGTGCCAGAGCCCGAGGCTACGTCCTCACGTCCAAGCCCAGCTTCCTCCTATGGCCTTGTTTGTTTTACCAACACTTATGGAGCCTCCGTGACCCCGACACCGAACCCAGCACCGTACCCGGCACTTCTACTCGGCATTTCGTGGATGAGGGAGCCGAGGCTCCGTGAGGTCACGTGGTCAGTGCAGTTTGGGGATGGTTGGAACCAAGGTCTGACTTCTCTAGAGCTGGAGTTTTGTCTTGAGAAGGAAAAAGCGCAAACAAAAGGGGTCTGTTGGGAAGGGTCCGCCCTCAGCTAAAGCACAGGGGCAACAGAGAGCGCCTTTTCTCAGCCGCCGTGAGTGACTGAGAGCCCCACGGTTACGATCTGCGCTCAGTCTGAAAAGAATCCATTGTGAAAATAACGTCGAAACAAAGACTCACACAGACTTCAGTAGTCTGGAGGCACTGGGTGTACCTGCCGTGGCCAAGAACACAAGGGCCTGCAGGCACAGGCTTCTGCGCAGGTGACAGTGCTGTGGCCAAGAGCGCAGCCTGGGTGCAGGCGACAGGCCCTGGACCCCACGAGGTCCTGAAGGTGGCAAACCAGCTCTCCTCAAGGCATCACCTCTGGAAGTCAGTGGTCAGATCGACGCCCATTGCATTTTGGGTGCTCGGTACACTCCGCTAGATGCTCCGCATCCACGGTCTCATTCAACCCTCGCGAGAACCCTAAAAGGCAGGAACTAGAATTCTATTTCACAGGTGAGGAAACTGAGGCACAGAGGTGACGTGACGGACCAAAGGTCACACAGCTGACAACTGGCAGAGCCGGGATTGGAGCCCAGAACTGGCAGTTCCCAAGGTCTGTCCTTTTGACCAGTGGAGGATATGGCCTGTTGTCTCATAGGGACTGTCAGCTCTGTCTTCGTGGACAAATTGTTACTGCAATGTACTCTATCATCTGAAAAAGGGGCAAACAGCTGGTAAAGTGAAGAGCTTAAGATTTGGGGAGGAGTCAACAGATAACACTCGGATGGTAATTAACGATAAATGTTGTACAGCCCCAGTTCTTTACTACTGGATCAAAGGCTCTGCCTACCTCCACCGCCCCACCTCCTGCCCTTCCTGCCACCCCTCCGAGCCCAGCCTCAAGGAGCCGCCTACGGCTGTCTACACAGGCTGTGCCCTCCCCCAGAAGGCCGCTCCCCAACCTCTGCGGTTTCTGCTCAATGCGACGTTCTCTTTAAAGCGCGCCCCCCACCCCAGAATCAGCCCCACTCCCACCTCCGACATCGCCCCATGCAAGAGGAGGTCTTCGCAGGCCCCTCTGGGCTTCGCCGGCCTGCTGTCCAGACCTCTGTTTCTGTGCTTATTGTGGGTGTAATTACATGTTCACAGATCTGTTTCCCATAACAAGCTCATCTGAGATCCAATGGGATTAAACGAAAACAGGCAGGGAATCGAAGGCCGACGCACCACGAAGAGGAAAAGTCTAGGCTACGTGGGATGTGGAGCTCCCTACGCCACGCACCGGCACAGCAGCTGGCATGGTGGCAGGTACCGAGCCCTTTCTGGAAGCACCACGTCAAAAGCCATAAAAATTCCAAATGATCCTTTGACCCAGTAGTTTCATTTCTGGGAAGAATCGCTAAGGGAACGATTGAGAAAACAAAAGTAATGCCCAGTTTCACCTCCTGAAAAGGTGGCGGAGTCACCTAGAGTCATACTAATGCCTGTTTGTGACTATTTGCACCTACTAAGTATAATCACTTGACTTCATCCTCACACACAACCTGGGGAAGCGGGCAGCATAATCATCTCTGTTTTACACTGGGGAGGCCTGGGGCTCAGACGTCATGATGACAATGACAGCTGCCAGTACTGACAGCCTGTGCCGGGCACACTTCTCAGCCATCTGGGCGCGATCTCAGTTACTGCTCACAACAGCCTGCGAGGTGGCTGCTCTTCACATCCTCCTTTTGCCAGCGGACAAGTGACTGAGGCCTAGAGACACACATTAATACGTATCTACGGCCACACTCGTGCCAAGTCCATAGCCTTACCCTCGGGGCTCCAGCCATCGTGCCCCGGGTTACTCGGCAGCCAGTAGCAGCAGAGTGCTTAGGGGACAGGCGCTTCTGCTTTGGAACCATGTGCTTTCTGCCATGAGATAGATGGGCCTCCTGCTACAGACTACGAGCCACCTCTGTTATGGGTTGAATTATGTTCCCCCAAGGGTGCTGGAATCCTAACCACCAGTACCTGTGAAGGCAACCTTTTCTGGCAATAAGGGTTTTGCAGACAGTCAAGTTAGGATGAGGTCATTAGGTTGAGCCCTAACCCAATATGACTGTGTCCTCATGGACAAGGGAAATGTGGGCACAGAGACAGAAGTGCACAGCGCAAAGACAATGTGAAAACCCAGGGAGAACGGGACCGACAAGCAAAGGGCTGCTGGAAGCTGGGAGAGGGGCCTGGAGCAGATTCCCCCTCGCCGCCCTTTTTTTTTGCAGGAACCAACCCTGCCGACACCCTGACTTCAGACTTCAAGCCTCCAGACTGTGAGAGAATAGATTGTTTCAGAGATTTCCGTTTTTGAAACCACTCAGTTTGTTCCCTTGTTACAGCAGCCCCAGGTTATTAGCCACTTATCAGATTACGAGGCAACTAGGAAAATGGGGCCAGGTATGAACATCTGAAGCTCACATGATGTTAGAGGGAAAATCAAGGGGTCAAAGCCATGCTGACCACCTGATCACCACTCCCGTGAAATAACACCTGGGTGCAGAGGGCAGCCTGAGAGGAAAGTTACCAGCATCACTGAGATGCTTTCCACTTTTTCTGGGGTCCCTGTTCCACATTTCCAATTTTATCCAGCAAGCTTATTATTACTCTTATAAATTTTATACTACTGGCTTAAAAAAATATTTTTGAACCACGAGAATCTGTGGGCTGAATTGTGCTCCCTAAAATTGGTATGTTGAAGCCCTAACCCCCAGTACCTCAGCATGTGACTATGTTTAAGACAGGGCCTTTACGGAGATAATTAAGTGAAAAATCAGTTAGGATGGGCCCTGCTCCAATACGACTGGTGTCCTCATAGGAAGAGATTAGGACACAGAGAGACACCAAATACTTCCACGCACGGAGAGATGATCATGTGAACACCTAGTAAGTAGGTGGCCATCTGCAGGCCAAGCCGAGAGGCTTCAGAAAAAAACAGAACAGCCAACACCTTGATCTCAGACTTCCAGCCCGCAGAACTATGAGAAAACACATTTCTGTTGCTTAAGCACCCCTGTCTGTGCTATTTTGTTCTGGCGACCCCAGCAAACGAATACAAAGAACCGAAGGAGAGCTAGCCCCTCACACAGCACCCGACTGCAGGCTGGAGCTGAGAAACAGCAGGGCGTGCCCGGTGGGCAGGGCGCGGCTGCGGCACTCACCCAGACAGTTGTGTCCATCGTGTGCCAGCATGAAGCCGTCGAAGCAGGTGCACCTGTAGTTCCCTGGGATATTGATGCACTCGTGGACACAGCCCCCGTTGTAGTAGTCATTCTCACATTCGTCGATGTCTGCAAAATGAGGGGCATGAGAGATGTCAGAGGAAGAGCCTGAGGTCCTCTCTGCCCCCACTGCTGGAGCCACCTGGACAGGAGTGGCTAGGGGATGACTCAACAGTTATTCACTGGAATTTTTGCTGGGGGCTGGGGACCCAAAGGTTGCAAAGATGAAGATCCTGGCTCTAGAACAAGGCTGGCCACCGCCTTGAGAGCAGGACCATGTGCCAGGCATGTGCGGGTTGACTTCCAGCTCCCACCACAGTGAAGCGGGCAAGAGTCACACTGAGCTCCGCCTCCCTCAAAAGTCTCTGGGCAGTAACGGCATGTGGGGACCCTGTGTAAAATCCCTCAACTGGCTCGCTTCAGCCTCTTTGAAAGCCTCCCAGAGATGGGGAGTTCAGTACCCGTGAAGTAGGGGGCAGCAAATAAAACGTCACCTACCACCAAAAAGTGTAAGCTCTGGAATAAGACAAAGTCCATACACTCCCTCTAAATAGTTTCCCTCCATGCCAGCATCCGAAGGCTGAATTTCTACTGCTCATTTCCTTGTTATAACAAAAGCTTGTGTCTCACAAACAATGGCCAACGGCCTTTGTAAAGGTCACTTTTTTTTTTTTGGTAAGTCTTTTTCAACATTTCCCATCAGGGGTCAAGGGCTATCAGTTTTAGAGTTCCAGAGCGATCTGAGAGATCTCGGAAAATAACAGGAACACGCCTGGTTAACATTCAGCGACCTGCTTCCATACCCGGTGCCGCTGACAATACCATGTCATTATCTCGTCACATCCCACACTAATTCACTGAGGTGGGCACCATCATCGTTATTCCAATTTCACAAGGACAGTGAAGAAATTGAGGCACGGGGAGGCCAAAACTGTGACAAAAGACACACACCTCGGGAGTGGTACAAGCGGGATTCGAACCAGTGCAGCCTGGCTCTGGGGCCCAAGGGGGACTAAGCCCAGCCATGTCTCTGGGAGGGGCGAGCAAGGCGGCGCCAGGGCACGGAGAGCCGGCAGCGCCACCCAGGACCACCCGCCCTTCCGCTGCTCCGCCCGGGCAGGTGCTTCCTGGGCTGGTGGGTCTCAACCCACCCCCACACCCACAGCCACCGGCACCTCCACAGGCAACGCGGCGAAGCATGGGCGCCGGGAGTGGAAAGCGCCACGGCGGCGGAACCGGAAGTGATGCTTCGTGGAACCGGAAGTGTTCCCGCTAAGCCAATCCGGAAGTGCCTCTCAAGAAGTTACTATGAGGGGAGAAGTGGTTCATCGGTCCTCTAGCTGGTCGAAGAGGGATTTTGAGTCTGGGTTCCAGCTATGAAGCCTAGGATGGGGCCAGCCTGACGAAGGGGGACTAAAGGCAAACCTGGCCGCTCCCTTAATTACCTTAGGTGCTGGCACAGGGAGACACCCAGCTCCATGCTCTCCATGCTGTTATTGGAGGGCAGAGCTACCTAAAGTAGGGAAAAGCCATGGGGGCCAGTAAACGTTCATGGGTAGGAATGTTCATCAGGATGAAAGAGGCTGTTTCAGGAGGTAGTGAGCTCCCCGATTCGAGGTGACCAAACACTGTCTAGACACCTGCCTGCCAGGGACACTGCTAGCAGAGGGGATCGCTTTAGTGAAAACAGCAGCACGAAAGCGCCTGAAGATAGGTCTAGGCCGTGCAGCCTATTCCTGGTGCCTGCCCACCCGGTCACAGGAGGAAAGAACAAACTAGCCTGAGTCTCCAAAGGTATAAGAGACAGTGGCTTCTTCCTAACCTGCCTGCGGTGCCATCAGCATCCGCTGGGAAGCGACTCAATTTTGCAAGTCATTTGAATTGTTTTAAATCGTATGTTTAACGCACTTAAAATATTTAAGTAACGTTAAAGGAGGGTATAAGATTTTACGTTTGAAAGGGCCATAAAGACTGAGATATTGATTACTTCCCAATTTCTGCAGCCCTGACCTTTCACCAGAGCCGCAGGTATACACCAATCCAATCACCTCTCCCTGTAGATCTTCCATAGACACGAGAAAGGCGATTTAACTCATCAACCTGCATTTTCCTGGAGTGCCCTATCCCATTGAATATCATTATTAGCCGCAGGTATACACCAATCCAATCACCTCTCCCTATAGATCTTCCATAGACACGAGAAAGGCAATGTGGCCCAACTTTAACTCATCAACCTGCACTTTCCTGGAGTGCCCTATCCCACTGAATATCATTATCCTTCCACCTCTCCACTGACATCTAATCAACTACCAAAGCATGGCTTTTCTACACCCCTAACATGGTTACACTCTGTCTACTCGTCACCCATTTCCACTACCTGTCATCATGGGCATCATCTCCCATCTGATCTGAACCAGAAGCCCCCAAACCGTTCCTTCCCTCTTTTCTTTCATTCAAACAGGTAACTCTCAGGAGAAGGTGGCCTGGTCCGAACTCCGAGGGTGGAGCCTGATCAATCTAACCCAAACAGCGCATGGCATTAGCAACTGCTATTGGTCCTAGGGTGGGCACATGACCTAAGTTGGATCAGTCAGACTGAGGGAAAGGACTTTTATTTCATGCTTGGGTAAAAGAATTCTCTCATTGTACCTTAGAAGGAAGTATGCAGGTATCTACTCATGAAGCATACAGTAGCCCATTTAATTTTCATAGCAACCCTCTGGAGTAGGTATCTTAACTCCATTTTATGGTTGAGCAAACTAAAGTGCAGAGAGGTTAGGTAATTGGTTAAGGTCATGTAGTAAGTGGTAGGGCAAGGATCAAAACAAAGCTCTTTCAGCCCATAAAGCCCATGTCATTTCTAATAAGTTAAATTGTCCATGACGTGCCAGGCATTGGCAAAGTATTTTTAATATGTTATTTCACCCTTAGCACATTTGCACCGTGTACCAAGAAAGTATTATCCAATCATCCAAAGACCCATTCATTCCTCTATCTTTATACATTCTCTCTATCCATACACATGCACACACACACAAGTACACGTGTGTGCACCTATCCATTTACCCAAATAGCCAGCCAGCCATGCATCCATTCATCCAAACACCCATCCACCCACCCATTATCAATCCATCTAGTCACTCCACAAGATACCTCTTCAAATACCCAGCCATCTATCCTTCCATTTGTCTGTCTATTCATGCAAAAATATATCCATCTATAAATATCTAGTCAGCTGACCATCCTTCCATTTATCCAATCACCTATTATTCTCCGATCCATTTATCCAGCCGAACATCCACCCATACATCCAAACAGGCATCCATCTAAATATTCAGTCAGACACCCATTCTTCCATTCATCTAAACATTTAAACATTCCTCTATCTTAACATCCATTTACTCATCCATCCATCCACATGCCTTACCACCTATCTATCTATTCATTGATCCAAACACCCACTCATCTATTAAAACACACACCCAAACACCTACCCACTCATTCACCTATCCAGCCAAACATCCATCCATCCATCCATCCATCCAAACATCTATTCATCCATCCATCAATTCCATCAAATATCATCCACCCAAACTGCTTACAAAACACATACAATATTTTTAAAAAGAACAAGATGTTAGGATAAAGTAAAAGAAATGGGGGTTGCAGAATAAGAGAAAGCTGGTGAAAATATGCAGAAATATATTTGGTAATCTCAGCACAATTTTAAAAGGTAGGCCACAAATATGGCTCTGAGCTTCCTAGAAGCCAAAGCAAGGAAGGAAACACAATCAGTTACAGAGTTACTGCATCCATACAATCAACTTAGAGCAGCTATTTTAATGGTGAAGTCTGAGAAAAATGTCTCTTCCCCAGATTAGGATAATCATATGCCCCACTTTGTCTGGCATAGTTCCAGATTTTGCCTATTGTCTTGATGTAAATGTTAACAGCATACATTTCACTATCAAAATGATAAACCATTTGATCACCATATCTACTAGGCATTATAAAGAGATCACTGAAAAGTTAAACAACTCTAGCCTTTTTCTTCCTTTGACTCACCATGGCATAGGCCATAGTAGATACCAATGGGCTGAAGAGTACAGAAATGTTCGATGCTCACATCTCTTCCCATAATACATTCCCAAGGAGTTCCCGCACATCCCGGTATCTCTTAGAATGACCGGTTCCTCTCCAATCCCTGGGCCTGAGTGCTCCCCAGGCTTCTGAGGCCAGCCTGCTTTACCCCAGCATCCTGGGCAGAGAACCAACCCCGCCTTATTTTCTGTGTCTGTGCCTTAAATTTTTGTTTTTCAAGATCACGTGCACCTCCTCTTTTAATACATAAGAGATAAACATAAAAACAAATCAACTAAAAAAAAAAATCTCTGCCAAAGCAAGTGGATTTATTACTGTAATAAACATCCAAGAGCCACCAGTCCTGGAGAAGTCCTGCAGGCCTCCAAGACACCCATAAGACTCATACCACTTTTTAAGAATTATTCAAGCCAGATAATGAGGAAGAGGCAGATGGGGTGGGGAGAGGATTAAGAGGCAGAAGGAATGGAGGTGGGCAGAGCCAAGCTCTCTGGATGTTTACTCTTAAAGGACTATTGTGGGTTGACTTGTGTCCCCTCCCCCCCTCCTGAAGATGTGTTGATGTCCTAATCCCCAGTATCTCTGAATGTGACCTGATTTGGAAATAGAATCTTTGCAGATGTAATCAAGTTAAGTGGAGGTCTTCCTGGAGTAGGGTGGGCCCTGGTCTGATGACTGGTGTCCTTATAGGAGGAAGGAAATTTGGATACAGACATGCAGAGAGGATGTTAGGACAGAGAGCATCATGGCAAACCGCACAGACACAGAGGGAAGAGGGCCCTCTGATGACAGAGGCAGAGACGGGAGGAAGCTGTGTGAGAAGCAGGTGTGAGTGCTGCTCCCATTTCGCTGATGTGGAGGCCAAGGCACAGTGTGGCTGACACCTCGTCTCCGGGCCCCCAGGCGGTGGCTGTATTCAAGCACAGGCTCTATCCCTGTTGGAGCCACATCCTTGCGGTACACGAGGT